AAGGAAGGAAGGAAGGAAGGAAGGAAGGAAGGAAGGAAGGAAGGAAGAAAGAAAACTGCTTCCTGCTCTTCCAGAGGATTCATGTTTGCTTCCCAGCACCAATGCTGGACAGTTAACAACTGCATATCTGGCTCTACAGGGTTCAATACTCCCACCTGGTCTCCATGGAAACCCATATACACATGCACAGATACATATAAATATTAAAAAAGAAAGAAAAAAATTTGAGACACTGGCCTTCATCTCTCAGTTCTCCTGCCTCAGCCTCAAAAGTTCTGGTGTGTATCACTGTGTACCCAGCTAGGAGGTACATTTTTAGTTGGTACTCTTTTTTAATAATATTCTGTTGAGTGGTATACCAGTTTTTATTTATCATTCATCAGTTAATGAATAGTTGATATTTTGTGGCTTTGTGTGTTTTTGATCCACTTTGAGTAACTTTTCTTGTATAGCACATAAATAGATATCCAGGTGTTGAGGAGGTGATTATTAACTAGAAAAGTAGAAGAGCCTGGTACAGTACCTTATTGGTCAGTGAATAGTTGGTGCCTCTGTAATTACGAAGCCAGGTCATACTGCTCTTCAATTTGGAGTACTGAAGAATCCCTGTGGGAGAATTTATTTCTTGGAATCATTTGGCTTATAAAAATAAATATACTTATTCATCTTACCACTTAGGCATTTACTTCATTACCAACTGCCGTATACATAAGTGGAGAGTGAGCAAGTCATAATTGTTGTGTCATTGGTAGCACATGGGAAGAGACCAAGGCTACTGTTAACCCTGAAGAGGGCACAAGAAGTTCTCTACAGCAAATAGTTAGCAGATCCTAAATGTCAGTAGTCATCTAAACAGAAATGCCTGACTTCAGTGTTCACAGTAATATTCTCTATAAAGTGCAAACAGCTCAAAGGTCCATCAGCTGACAAGTGAATAAATAAAATGTGGCCTATCCATATAATGAAAAATTATTTGTTAATTAACAGAAATAACATACTTATACATGCTGATACAGGTAAACTTTGAAAACGCTGTACTAAGAGTCAATTTTGAAAAAAGCCATTTAGGGAAAATGTTAATACATGATTGCATTTATTTGCAATGTTCAAAACAAATTGGATACAGAATACGTAGAGGTTACCTAGAGCACTGGTGTTTGGGAAGATACAGGAGGTAACTGTAAAGCATACCAAACTTTTTTCTGGGATTATGCGTGTGTTCTAAAATTAGATGTGTCATGGTACATAACTGTGAATGTAGTGAAACTATTGAGTCACTGAACAAATTGTAGTATGTGAACTATGAGTCTGTGAAGCCTTTAGAAATATCTGGCATGCCAAGGCTTG